GTAAACAAACAATGTTTCAAAAATCATCAGAAGAATGTTGTTTTTTGTTCAGTAAATATTTATGACTAATACTTCCATTTGCATCTTGACTAATAGATATTAAAGAGTCAACTTTTACATGCCACTTATGATAGCCTGAATTTTAAGATGTATTGATTTGATTTGTTTTCCCAAAAGCATTTAAATTATTGCAATGAGTTTCTATATTTCTGCATTAACATAACAGCAAGTAATATGAAGGCTATAAATCAACTTTTAAGGAGAATGTAAATCAGAAGAATTCTGTGAAGTACCAGTCGATTGGTGATATGCACTCAGGTACCTGACGTTTCCCTCCCTCTTATCTTTCTGAAATGAGGAAGAGGATCTAAAAGTAGCAGTTTAAAAGTTTAAAAAGTTTGCTCTTGAATCTAGAAAAGGTACCATCTGGATGTCACAATATTCAAGGAATTTTGTGGGTGTATTTAGAGAAAGACATCAGAATCTATTGTGAATTGATTTTCCCATGAAAAGGAGGAGTGGCCTCATGGAAATTAAAAGATAATCGAAGACCTCAAGGATTAAAACGCAGAGGCTGGAAGCAGAGGTGAGCTGTGAGGAAGGAGAAAGGTAGAATGGCAGCCCTTTAATTCCTCTGGGTTCTTCAGTGTTGCCAACTTTCAGGAAAAGCTTGCAAGGCAACACCAAACAGTCAGCAAGCTGCACTAGCAGAGGGTCTTCCCCCTGAACTCACAGGGTCTCTTCCCTAACAAAGAAGATGGCAATGCCAAGAGCCAGTGTCTGACTAAGCCTGGCAGCTCCTGCAACTAACACATAGGAAACTAACACATAGAATTATGTTTCTGCCAAGAGGGTTCAAAACGTCACCTTCCTTTCCTTTTTCTCTAGCTCTTGGGTCACTGAATTGGAATTGGGAACTACTCCTGCTTAACATTTGTGAGGAAGATATGCATCCTACTGGGATTTAAGAGAATTCAATAAATTAACCTCTCTCTTTTAAAGGAAAATACAAAACTAACAACTAACAACTCTCATTTTTATATAAACACAAACAGTTCTTTTCATAATAAATAACAAAATAGAAAAGAGGATTAATATAATTCAGAAAGTTGGTTTATCAGATAATTATTATTCTCTATGTGCCTATTTTTTTTCCAGGATCACAGAAGTTGTTGAATCCACATTCTATGATAACAGTGCAATAAAACTAGAAATTACTCACAAAATATAATTAACTCCCACCAAAAAAATGAAAATGTAAAAGCAGTACCCTAAATAATTTTTAGGTCTAAGAAAAAAAATCAACTCCCTAGATGATTGACTGTGCAAGTATTGGAACCAACAAGTGTTATTTGTAAGGTGACCAATTTCAAACTAAAGCCTCAAACAACAACCCCACACAAGATATAACAACAACAACAACAACAACAACAAAAACACCAAAAAAAAGTAATAAACAACAATAGAGCAATACCTATTATTATATTAAGAGATGTATAAGAAAGAAAAGCATAACACATACGGACTGAATAAGAAAAATATGATAAATGGGAAATCCCTATAAGTATTTATTACTTAGAATATCAAATATTCGAAGCATTTGAATAGAAGACTAAGTTGAAAGATGCTGATATTCTTTGCCAGATTAAATTCTAACTTTAATGTAGAATGTCTCCAAATCCTAAAAAAATATTTGGGGGATTTGAAAAACAAGTTTAAATTAATTTGGAAGAAATAGTACCAAGTAATATAAAATTCTTTGCAACAGCAACAACGAAGAAAACATGCTATAGCAAAGGAAAACTGAAACTCTGGAGAAAAATCTGCAACATGTATCTGACAAGGGTTGGTGTTTATAATACATAAAGAGTTCTTACAAATCAATAAGAGAAAGGCAAATACTGTTAACAGAAGAATGTACATTATATAGCAAGAAGTTTACAGAAGAAAAGCTTGCCTACTAATATTGAAAGCTCTATCCTTGCCACCACTTTTCAATTACTAAATTATCAAATACAGAGAGAATTGGTAGAAATTGTCACAACAGTGCAGAGACATAGACCTTTCAGTCATTATGGATGAAATTATTAATTAATACCTCCTTTTCTGAGGAACATTTAGAAATATGTATCAAAAGCTTCTAAAAAGTTCATGCTTTTTGACCCAGCAATTCCAATTCCAGGAATTTATTGCAAGGGAATAGTCAGAAATGTATACAAAAATAATTGTAAGTGGTATTTAAAATAGCTTTATAATTACGAAAGAATGGAAATAGTCACACTATATTGCTAAATGAGTAAAGTGGGATACAAAATGCTATCTACAGTAAGAGTAGAGAAAAATAAAACTTGGAAATCCACCAAAATGTTAACTAGTAGTTCTTGCTGAGTGGTAAAACTATGGCTCATTATTATTTTCTTCTTTGTGTATTTTTATTTTTTCAAACTTTACATAATAAATACATACTATTTTTATATTTAGAGAAAATATAATATATATTATTTAAAAATGCATTTTTTCATAATAAAAAAGCTAAAATTATAAGAATATTTTGGCATTTAAAAAACACTTTAAAGTATCCTATATCATTTGTGTAGAAAAAGGTGATTTTCTAAGAAATTCTTTGTATGAGACTATTCCATTTTGCTACTAATGCTGTGAGAACTGACAATTACCTTTGCCTTTAGTGGTCACCTTTACAGAGAGGTAAAGGACAGGAGGCTTAAGGGATGAAGGGCTAAATAGATAGAGGAAACAAAGTGATGTGTCACATTGCTGAAATGGGAGTCTCAGCGTGCACAGTCCCCTCTTACTATGGGTGGAAAACAGCTGAGGTTAGACACCGACCAAGTTCTTGCTTTTAAGTTTCAGTTTCAGAAGAACATCTGAGAAAAAACTGACCAAGTGAAGCCTTTTCTGGTCTGACACCTAATAAGTCCTTGATACTTAGGCCAAGGGTCCCCTTCTTGCTGAACCTGAAATAGGCGATACCTAACTGTACAGGCTCTCATCTACTTCCAAAGCCTAAACCTCCAGGGGAAGCCAGCAGACATGGGCAAGCAGTGATTACAGCCCTGAGACAGAGGGACTACAAGCTTCACTATATTTCTGAGTGAGTTATAACTTATAGATTATGCTGGTATTGTTTGGCTTCTTAGAACAGCCTTTTGGTTCAATAGCCGCTAATTGTTTATTGTTTATTATCATTATTATTATTGTTGTAAGCCATAGTTCTTTATAGCCTGTAGACTACTGGAAAAAAACCTAGATGTCTTGATTGCACAGATGAAACAAACCTTCACATAATTGCTACTAAATCAGACCACTCCCCCCATCCCCTTGTTCGATTTCTGTTAGTCAGCAAACAAATTTCTAGGCAAGATCTAAAACACTGCTTATTTGAACTCTCTAGTGATAATATTAACATTATTATAATAGGTAAGATGACATTTAACCCATATGTACTATGGTTATAAAATTCCTAAAATAAACGATTGACTTGATAACAAATCCAACTATTGCATAATTGTCATGAGTTGATGTTATCTCTAAACTATATTATTTTAAAACACTTTTTAATTTGGTATATTGGATGAATGAGGAAAGCTGATATTAAAAAATTTTTTAAAGAGAATATATTTAACTATATTATGCTTATCTTTGCATTTCCATGTGTGACCTTTTAGGATTAAATATAGTCACCATTTTGCTATCAAGACCCACTTGAGGCAGATATTTCACTATTTATTTCTAAACACTAAGAGGTTAGTAAGTAATTGCCCCTTAGCCATTCAGCTTAAACTAAGCAAGAGACTATATTCTAGTTCTGTTTTTCTCAAAGTAAAGTATTTGGATCAGCAGTATCAGAATATCAGGGAGGAGAATGGAGGAAAGGAAGAAAGGAAGGAAGAAGGGAAAAAGGAAGGAAGGAAGTTAGTTTTGGAAATATCATATTCTTACCTCAAAAGGCAGATCTAGGTCCAGTTTCATTTGAATGAGCTTTTGTTGCCAGGAGGTGACATCATGGGAAATGTCAGGGATTTAGAGACATGGACCATCAGATAATAGGCAAGGGATGTAGATAGGAAATTGTCAGAAACTAAAGACAAACTTAATTGACTTTACAGTTTTGCCTAGAATCATACCACATTGGGTAATGCTACTTATTATAATAGAAATGCTTATCATGATCATCCTCATTATCATCCTCATCATCATAGCTGTTATTTATCAAGTGTGTAGGCACTTGCTAATAAGTGGAAAGTGAGCATGTTCTACATACATTACTTCATGTAATCCTCCCAAGAACCACTGAGTAGGTATCTTTTTGATAGATAGATAAACCAAGGCATGGGCTTAGGCCAAAGAACTTGCCCACAGTGATACAGTTAATATGGAATATGGGACCTGAACTTCGGTCTGTGTGATCTTGAAGTCTATGCTAGTAATCAGCTACAGATAACAGGAATTTCTACAACAGCTTTTACTGTCAAATTTATAGGAATCATGTGATAGCTTTTTTGCTTCTGTCCACATAGAGTGAGTATTGGGGTCAAATCACTAAAATCTACTAATGGATGGAATGCTCACAGTGTAGTCAACGCTAGCAGTTTTAGCAATTTAAAAGAGTGGTGATGATTGGTGTCATAAAAGCCATAACACACGCTTCTAGAAAGGAAAAGGCAACTACACTGCTTTTTTCAATCATTTCATTGCATGTGCACTTGGCAAATCTGTCACTGCTTCTGGCTATTGTCTTTTTTTAATGCAAATATTTCTCTGCATGGATTTCTTTAATTCATGACCTTCTGTATATTGTTTTCTTTGTGAAATCACAGCTTGGGAGTTGTTCAATCTTAAGAGATTTTTAAAAACAAGGTCACATTTTAATGTGAATGCTTTTAAATTGACCCCACTTGTTTAAAGGACGTGAAAGAGCTCAGTAATGTTCCTGTGACCTGTTTTTATACCTTTTGATATTTTTTATGATCTCCAATCAGTTGGACAGATTATAACTGAAGCTGTGGCATCAGGCTGCCACAGCCACTATGATGCCGAGTCTGGCGTTAGCAGCACAGACGAGGAGTGGAAGCCCTCGAGGAAGCTGGAGAGTGACACAGGTGGAGGTAAGGGTGCGTCATTACCCAGGGGAGACCTTCAGAAATCCTCTGCAAAAGACAGCCTGTTTTCATCTTTCATCCTCCTATCCTTGTTTCTTCCTTCTGCTACCTTTTTTTCCTCTCTTCAACTAATGAATGTGATGGCCAGAAGTGGTTGACAGGCCCTAAGGGGAGCTTTAAAACTAACATCAGGTATGAATGTTGTTATTCTTTTTTGAATACATTGGTGCCTAGGATATGAAAAAAACGACTTTAGATTATAAAATATTGGTAGGGATTTTGAGACCAGTCTTCTTTCATAGCCTGCCTCCAAGTTATTTGACTAGGTAGGTGAATTTGCCCTAATTGACCCAATTGGAGACCTCAAGAATCAAGGAGCATTTCACATGGATTCATCTGAATGTCTGATTTTTTTCAATTAGAAAAGAATTCATTGCCATCAGCACATGACCTGTCTCTTGATGACAAATATTCCATCTGCAAGAGTGCCAGTTAGAGTGATCCAGTAGACCACGACTCATACATATCTGATCAAACTTCCCATGTCCTTGACATCAGGGTTTCCCAAATTTAGTGAATGATTTTTTTTTAAAAAGTCCTGATTCAAATATATGTATGTATGTCATGGGGAAGATATTCATTTTATTAATCATATGGCATTACCCCCACCTTTAACATTGAAAAATAGTCAGCAAGCACTATAAGGCATTTGAGATTTTAGCCTACTTTCTAGCAAACAACGTAGCCAGCCACAGTTTTATGGATGTTGGCAGAAGACACAAGACTCCTGGCTCAGAGAAAAATTACATTATTACTCACAGCAAATAGCAGTAGTCAGACTACTTGTATTTATGCTGGTTTCCTGAGCTCTAGTGCTTCCTGGGCAACATAAAGAGGGCCAGGCAACACTTGAATATACAGTGAGGTGAGTTACCCAAGAGGGACCCTGAGCTTAGAGAACCCAAATCTTCCATAGCGGGCATTCGACTAGAGGAATTCTAGTGCATTTCCCCAAACATTCATTCTGCCATGCAGGCATAGTAGTTACTATTGATCAAATCTAATTAAAGCAAAGAAAATCCATTTAATTGTAAGCAGTGAAAGGAGAGTGTGGAAGGAAGATTTGTTATGCTTTCTGTATGC